ACCTATACCTATTTAATAGCAATTTTTTTTTTAGCCTCTAAATTATACCCCACGAGATGCCAACTAGAGGAAGTCACCTCTAGTAGACTGTTCCTCAGTGCTTCAGAAGACATTCTCTCTCGAAAAAGGGCCACCTCGCTAATTTATTTATTTCTTAGGTTGAATGGTAATGTAGAGAAAGTGCATTTATATCTTCTTTGGAGGAAGAAAATAGAGTGTGAAGGCTTTCAAGACGATGTCTACTCTGAAATGAATACTCAAAAGTTACCTAACCCCTTGATGTCAATATCCCTATATGTAAAATCATAATATCTATCTCACAAGGCCATTCTGAGCACTGAGACACTGAATATACCAATGGATGATGCTGGACCAGATATTAAAATAGATCTCTAACCATAACCTGCAGCAACCTGCCCAAGAAACCAACTCATTATTTAGAATAACCAGCCCAGGAAGCCAGCCTGCTGTAAGTCAGACGGCTATCTCTAGTGACAGTCTAAGAAGCCGAATAATAACCTCTGTAACAATCGGCCCCAAACGGCCAGGACTCGATTAGTAACCAACAGCTTCCCTAAATTTTGTCCCCACTTCCAACTTAGAATCAATCAGGGAAAGCCAAATATTCACTCCTAACCAATTACATAGGATACCTGCTTCTAGTTAGCCCAACTACAGGCCAACAGCCTGAAATCAAGACACACCTGAAGCCCTCCATTCTCTCACTAGAAAGCTTTCCTACTCCTCTGCCTGCCTTTGAGTCTCAGCCAAAATACAAGTGATGTGGTTGACTTCCTTGTCACAGCAAGCTCTGAATAAATAGTTTTTGTTTGTTCTCATTTGGTTGGTCTTTTGCTTCCACAGAATTTAACTTGATAACGTACTGCACAAAACATGTCTAGTACAAGGTGTAACTATTAGGCCAAGGATTTTCTGAATCATTAAAGGAGATATTAGAGGAAACAAAGCCCTGGAGTCTTCAAGAACTGAGCTATTTGCATTTTTGATCTGTATCAAAAGCCTGCGTGGGAAGCTGGTTTCTAAAGCAGTCAACAGTTTCAAAAGTGGCAGATTAGAACTGAAAACTATCCCCCAACCCAAATCATTGGGGGCTTCATTGTGTTAATAGAAACAATACAAGTAGTTTCCTACTTACTGTTCTATATTCTGCAGATGGACCAAATTGACTGTGCATAGAGGCTGCAAGAAGAAAACATTTTAGAGCATGTGATTAAGTCAATTCTTGTTCATAAGGGTCTTAAAATCCACGTTGTGATTTATTCAAGCTGCACCTTCTCCCTTTCCCTCAGACGCCTAACTTCTGTGAACCACTCCCTTTCACCCCACCAGCCACCCAAAATACGCGGTTGTTTTCTGGCACCTCTCCTAGCAGGCACACAAAAGAACATTTGGTACGGGTTTCATAACTGACCACTCTAATAAGTTTGCTTGAGAAAGAATTATGGAGCTACAAAATAAAAGTCAGAGAAGTAACTCCTAATAATTTATTTTTTTCCTCTGCGGCTCAGGGTAATGAATATAAAACTTAATATTACGTGTTACCATTTCGACTCCATTTTAAAATGGGGCGTCAAGTCTAGGTGAACTAACTCCCCTTTCCCATAAGCCCTGGAGTGCCCTGACGCACTTGGCATTCACTATTCCTAATTTCTGTACATCTTATGCCGAGGTTCATTCAGTTGGGCCACTGTACATAAAAACTCAACTCCTAATCTTGAGCTCCAGAAAATCTGCTTTAAGGGAGAAAGAGCAGACAGCAGGGTGTCACTGAGAAGCTGGGAGTGAAGCTCAAGCAAGAACTGAAGGATCCCTGGCTCCACAGTCACGCTCCCTCGCCCCCAAGTTCGTGTTGCTAGAGGACTGCAGCGGGGCCCTAACCGCCAGTAACGGGTGCGCGGAAGGACGCCAGGGACTCCGGGGTATAGGAGTGGGCAGTCTCTGACGAGACCGCATCTCATTATTCCTCCGCGGGTCCTGGGTTGACCAGGCCAACTGATGAGCGTTACCTGCCCAGACCCTGGCCAGGAGCAACAGCACCAAGCTCAGCGCCGCCGCCGCCATCCTCCCTCCGCAGCTGGCCGTCGGATGCTAAGCGCTCCAGTGCCCGCGCAATACGCAGGGCGTGCACAGGTGGGACACGCGACAGGGTGGGGTGAGGAAGGGGCGGGGAATGGGAGGATGAGGGGAGGAGGAAGAACCGGGAGAGTAGGAGGACCTGGAGGGACAGGAAAGGACTGGTAGGGAGGGGCAGGGGAGGAAGAGGAGAGAGGGAGAGGATAGGCAGATACTACTAGCCCCATAGGCCCTGCTCCCCAAACCCTCCCCACCCCGCTGAGGATGGGAGTAAACGTTCTAATAAAGCTCTCCCCCTGCAGCTGATAAGAACCTCGTAAGAGCCCTGGGGTACAACCTTGTAGGCTCTGTCACTCAACCCCTATTTCTTCAGCATCTACTCTGTTCCAGGCAGTATTTTGGGACTGAACTCAACAAAGGATGTCTCTGCTCTCAAGAAGCTTTCTAGTGTGAGTGTTGGGGATGAGGTAACACAGGGAACTCCAAAACAAGTGAATAGATACAATCATTTCTAGAAAGTTGGGGATGGTGTTGGAGGTGAGAGGGAGAATGCTTTCTATTGGGAGATAAGGAAAAGCCTTTCAGAGGTGGCATTTGAGCTAAAAGCTGAAAGATAAGGAGAAGAAAGCATGGCGAAGACCTTGGAATACTTGAAAACAAGTATTCCAGGCTCAAGGCAAAGCAAGTGCAGATATCAGGAGGCATTAAAGAGAATTTAGTGGAAGAAATCGACCAAGCTGGTATTGGAGAACTGAAAAAAGCAGAAAGGGAACAATGAGGTAACATGCAGAGACAGTAACTTCGGGACATAGGTATCACCCCTGGGTCTGGGGGAACAAAAGGAAGAGGTTGAAATTATCTAGAAATTTGGAGAAGAGGCCCTTGGAAAGCTGGGGCTCAGGCTTCTGAGCAGGGATGCTGCTTGGCTGATGCTGGTGGGTCTGAGGGCGTGCAGTGACGCAGGTCTGAGGGGGTGCAGTGACGCAGTTCTGAGAATGTGTGACAACGCTAGAGACTGGAAGTAGGTGCTACTATTGGGTGAAGGGGCATTACTGCTACGGTACTGCTGAAAGAAACAGTGAGCGTGTAGAAACAAGTCCCTCGTCCGTCCTCCTGCCTTGCAAAGTCCCCCAACACATCCGATTGGCAGAACCTTCAGGAAACCAGCTGGCAAAGTAGAAATGAGTTCTAGTGTCACAGAGTCTGGAAGGGTGATTTTAGAGCCGGCATACAATAACCTAATGACTGGCATAGTCGCATACCCCACCCCCCTAACTTTAGCAACCTCGAGAACTGGGACAAGAAGACAACATGCAGTTTTAAACGCCACCTGGCACCATGCACAGCTGAGTTCTGGCTAGTATTCTGTTTGAGGCCAGAGTGAAATTTGGAATAAGTGTTAGTACTTTTGTGAGGCACATAAGTTATTTAAACAAAGGTCAAAAATACAGAAGGCTTATTTTGCTGAAGACTTTCATCAAGAATTGATATATGGATATAGATATGTGCACAAAAATATTTTCTCAGCTTCGTTGGATTTCTGTGACCATATAACATATATATTTGTTTATAAACATTCTCACCTCTGCTACTTCAGGAACACAAACTGAAGTCTGACACAGACTCAGGGACAATGCTTAGAGTTGTGTTAATAGGAATTTCAGCTTCAAAAAGAAAGCCATTTGCCCCTCAAGATGGATTTGTTATAAATGTATGTAGGTAGATGTTGCTGCCTTTGTTATTTTCTTCCAAAGAGTTGATGATTATACTTTAGAAATATTCTATACCATGGTGCTTTTCACATAGTGGTCTCAGCATTTGTCAGCCAAGAATAAGGGTTAACAAACGTTTTCTGTAAAGGGCCAGAGAGTAAACACTTTAGACTTCGCGAGTCATATAATGTCACAATTTGTCAACTCTGCCCTTGTAGTGCCAAAGCAGCCTTGGGTCACAAGTCAATGAATGGGCATGGCTGTGTTCCAGGAAAACTTTACAAAACAGGCCACAGGCCACATTTAAACTATGGGTCATAGTTTACCGACCCCTAGCCAAATACGCCAAACAAAAATGGCCAATGCTGACCACCGGCATGCCCGTTAGAAGGTAACACCAAGAGCAAGCTAGGAGATGTGTTCTGTGGTTAGTCCTTGCTCTTGAAAGCTCCAGGCCCCTGTCCCATTCCTTTTTTCAGGATGGCAAATAAACCTTAACTGACCAACTTGCCCTTAGGTCTCATATTTTTATGTGTTTTCTGTATGTACATGATTAAATAGTTTTTCTCTTGTTAATCTGTCTTATGTCAATTTAATTATTAGGCCAGCTAAAAGAACCTAGAAGGATAGAGGAAGAATTTTTCCTCCTCAATAGAGCCCTCTTTGAAATATAGGTAGGTACTTTGCAGGGTCACAATTTGCAGGTTAACAGGAAAAAAAATTTTTTAAAAAGATAATTATTTTTTAATTAAACCATCCCTACTATCCAGAACGATATATGATCCTATAAATGTCATTAATTTCATTCATTCATCCATTCCACAAATGTTTATAAAATGCTATATGTGCACTGTCCTAGGAATTAGATTTAGCAATGAACATACCTACTAAAAATCCCTGCCCTCAAGAAGCTTACAGTCTAATGATATTACTGTGGTAGTGGGGTTCAAAGAAGCACAGGAAGATACGTTTTGAAAGGCAAGCTTAATTCGATCTTGTCGTCTTTTCCATTCAGCTCTGTGATATAGAAATTTACTTCATCCTCTGAAACTAACAATTGGAATTCTGTATAAAGTCAAGTTTGGAAACCCAACCTATATATTCCTTATTGCCCCTGTCATCAAGTTTAAAATTTTAAGAAAAATTATCAAAACTTGTAAATAAGGCAAAATATTATTATGTGTCTTTTCAAGGTCATACTAGATAGAGCATTGTCTAAGAAGCCTACATGGGGAGGGAGGGGGAAGGTCTTCTGATTCTAGGGGATGTCATTTTATTTGGTTTATCATTTAGTATTGATAAGGTCTAGAGTCATAAAATTAGATATTAACTTATAGAAGAAAAGTTGCAAATAACTTTGTTGGATAGAAAAGATAACTCCAAAGCTTACTATTTTATTGCTGTCGATATAAAGCAGTGCTACATTTAATTTTTAGTCTTATTCCAAGATTCTTTTTTCATAGACTATGTATATATTTGCAAGTCTCCTCTATTCTCCTCTAAGCTGGGTTTATATCCTATGGGTTCCCTCACTAGCGAGTTAAGAAGAGTAAATAAGAAGCCAGTTTGCCTGACAGACAGAGAAAAGGTGTTTCTGACTTGGGGAGACCAGCAGGAGCCAAGGCCAGCAGGATTCCTTTAGAGAATTCCAAGAGGTTCAATGTGGCTAACGCAGTGCTTCTCAAACTTTGATAAGCATGTGAATCGCTTGGATTGAGTAAATCTAGAGTGAGGCCCAATATTCTGCATTTCTACAAGCTCCTAGGTGAAGGTGATGCTGCTGATCCATGGACCACACTTTGAGTAACAAGGAGCTAGGTCAGAGCACAAGTGCAGTTGAGAATGTCCAGAGATGAAGATGGAAACTGAGAGAACTGAATGTGGAACTAGAACAGGCTATCAATAAAAATATTTTCTTACACTTTACATCAAACAAAAAGATTCCTAAGCCCAAGCAGGGAGGTCACTCATTTGAAATAATATATGCACTCTCACCACATTTTAGTATAATCACAGAAGTGAGACTAGGCCTGATAAGTAATTTCATGAAAACTGTCCTGTCCTGCACTTGTGTTGGTTCTCCCTTAGCTAAGCTGTTTAGGTGAGCGAAATAGTATTTAGTGGTGTCTACTGCCATCTAGTGGAAGTAAGTTGACATTATAACTAATGCCTCATTTATATGGTAGTTTTCAAAGTGCTCTCATTTTATCTTCACAGTAATCTATGAAGCAGACATTGTTATTGCAGTTTGTTTTAATTTTTCAGAAAAACTTAATATTATTTATCTAACTATGATCCAGGCACTATACATGATTTTACTTATTATCTATAACAATCTCATACATATGTATTGCCTTGTTGTTATTCCACTTGCAGATGAGGAAGCTAAGGCTTAGAGAATTTAAGAAACATGTTCAAATTCCAACAGCAAATAAGTGGGAGCATCAGGATTTAAACACGGGCACACATCACTAACATGAATAATCTTCTCTTCTTCAACCTCTTCCTTCTTCTTCATCATCTCCATTATTACAAAGCATTGTGGTTTTGTGCCAGGCATTTTCCTAAACCTTAATAACTTAATCCTTACCCAAACTCTTATGAGTTTAATATAATTATTATTTCCATTTAATATATGAGGAAATCAAGGCACATACGAGTGAAGGAAGTTATCTAAGCTAGTGAGGAGCATAGCAAAAATTGGAACCCTGGAAATTAAAAAAAAATATTTAATTAAAATAAAATTTACTTCACTGAAATCTATAAAATGAATCTTTTTTCCTCATTTCTTCTTTTGTTTTCTGGATTTATTGAGATATAATTGACATATAACATTGCACAAGTTGAAGGATACAATGTGATTTGATACACATATATTATAATGCAAAATGATTACCACAATAAGGCTAGTTAACATGTCTATCACCTCATATGATTAGTTTTGTGTGTGTGTGTGTGTGTGTGTGTGTAATGAGAACCACTCTCAACAACTTTCAAGTGTATCATACAGTATTGGTAACTATAGTTGGCATGCTGTACATTAGATCCCTAGACCTTGTTCATCTTACAACTGGGAGTTTGCATCCTTTGACCAACATTTCCTCGATTCCCCTGTCCCCTGCCCCACCCTCAGCCTCTGGCAAGCACCATTTTATTCTGTTTCTGAGTTTTACTTTTTTTTAGATTCCACGTGTAAATGAGATCATACGTATTTTTCTTTTTCTGTCTGATTTATTTCACTTAGTATAATGCCCTCAAGGGAACCCAGGGAGTGTT